AGAGTAGACACGAATTCGGTCCGAACCAGCTCAGATTTCTGTCGGATTCCGCTCTGCAAAGCTGGGAACAGGATTTCTTTGACCAGGGGTTCAAACTCGTCGGCGCCAGAGCCGTCTTCCCTGGTAGCTCTCTCAATAAAGCGCTTCAGTCCAAAGGAAGCACTTGACCTGATAGCAAGTTCATCTTCATCCTTCACATGGAATAACATGTTATAGAGGAGCGGACGCCACTGTTTGGCATCCAGAGTCTCCCAAAGGCTATCATTGATTTGACTGAAGGCTTGGAGACGACGCTCGTAGTCAACTTCGAGTTTCTTTCTAGAGATCGAGTTCAGGTCCGCACAGAGCTCAGCCACTTTCTCCAGTGCGGTATCGTGTTTCACGAAAGCCGCGAAAACTCGGGACAACACCTCTCGATTCGCATCATCTCTGAAGTAATCAAACATTGACGAAACTGCTTCAAACACCTCTTCAAATAATTTTGGATCTTCCTCAGGGTTGAACAGGTGCAGGAAGTGTTCGAGGATGCGCAGGAGACCCGACTTGGTTTTGGGAGACACTCTATCCGCTGGTTGACGTAGGAGATATGTCGTGATGCTCACCAGTTCCGTGGTTTCCTGGAACGATTCGACACATGGTGCCAGGAGAGAAATTGTCTGTACCCCAGATATCAAGACCGGACGGGAAGGTCCACGTTTCAGCAGGCGACCAAGGTGAGAGAGTGCATGCTCGATATAAGGGGACAAGACTTCGGATCGAATCTCATCTGCAGAGAAATCGCTCATTTCTTCTTTCTCTTCGAGCTCCTTTCCACTAGCAAGTCTGATAAGAGGGACCAGAATCTCGTCCATCACGTACACCTTGACCTCGTCGCGAGCAGACTCCACACCGAGACAGTCAACGACCTTGGTCAGGACAGTGTTGTTGTGGCGCACAAGATAGAAAGAGGACATGGGGGCGGAGGCCCAGGTATGGAACAGCCGCAATAGACCCGAAACTCCTTGAGCCGTCTCGATCGCGAAATTTTGAAGTCGAGGGTTAATCACTTCGTCGAAGATGACACGAATGTAAGCAGACCAGTCTTTGTCCAGAGAGACGGCAAAGATCAGCTCAAGGCAACGGATACAAGTATGCCGGATATTGCGGAACACGGTCAACAGCCTCCCTTCAGGAGAATCCGCAGCAACGTCAGAGTGGTCTTTCTCAAGCTCTCGACAGGCTCTGACCAAACAGTATAGGACCGCGTCCATAGATCGCTGGGCATATAGAGCCATTCGGCTTTGCAGCGTGTCGAACACTGTTTCAATCATCCTTAGCAGACCCATCTGTCTCCTGGGGCTAACCAGGTCTCGAGCAAATGCTTCTTGGTCGACTTGCCCCTCCTGTAACAATGAGACATCTCCAAGGGGACCGAACGATACCCGCATAAAAATTTCGAACTCGCTATCGGGAAGCTGTGACAATGTCCTCAGAATCGCCTTCCTGCGTCCAACCTGGCCGGCTTGGCCACTTGCGCTAGCTTTCGAAATCATTCGGCCATACAAGAGGCGTAAGAGGACAGGAAGAAGTTCACCCCTATGGGCTTCTTCAATCACGCTGTCATCATCACCGACATGCACGAAGACAGAAAGCTCATCTTTGAAGCGCGACTCGTCCAGAATGTTCAACAGATTTTCTTGGTACGGCATAATGTTCGGTGATTTCCAGGTAAATAAAGCTTTGAGCGCGGACTTTTGGATCTCTGAATTACCATGGCAGAGCAGCCCAAGAAGGGCGTCATGAACCTCTGACGCCTTGAACAGCACTCGAGGATTGGCGAACTTTCCAAGCAGCCCAAGAAACGACAAACGGTCATGGAATCCCCAAGGAATGTACGAATCGTCAGCGCTTTCCGCATCCTCATCATCGCGCAATGCCCACGCAAGGAACAAGGGGACAATTTGGCGGGACTTCTTCTCAGCTAGAGCAGGTGCTGCATTAAGAACACGCAGAGCATGGGTTCGAGGGGCCACAGGAACGACGTCAGAGAGCTCATGATCTCTCTCGAACCCTTCCAATAGCTTCGAACTGGGAGGCACCGCAGCATTGAAATGAGAAGCAAGACGATCTTCAATATTAGCCGCATTGAAGCATTTGAAATATCCAGATGTATGATATTCCGCCTCTTCGTCCGCTTTATCGGCGGTATCGGTTGAGCCGCGCTCCTGAAGCCATTGAAAAGCTAGGTCCGAAACGATTTTTTCGCCTGCTGAATGCTCGCTGATCGACTTTAGTGCAGCAGCCGAATCCTCCCACAGCGGTGCCAATTTCTTTGAGAATAGACCAAAGCAGAAATTGGGGATTAACCTGGCCATCCATCGCTGAGAAGCCACTTGGGGATAGAGGATGGCAAGCTTGCGCACGTGCATCGACAGAACTCGTGCAGTCTGGAGATTAAGCGGGCTCTCTTCAACTTCTATGGCCAAAGAAATGGGAGCAGGATCTTCTCCTGAAAGTTGTACCAACTCTCGCAAGATTTTTAATGATAACAATCTGACTTGTTGAGAAGGGCCCGCGAGGTTCGTAATTAGAACGTTCGCGAAATCTTCTAGCGCGGGTTGTCTGAAATCCAGCTCCGTGGAGCAATTCGAAACGTAAGCCAAGATCGCTTCGAGGAACGGCTGAATTCTTGAGTATCTTGCAGCAGCAGAGCCGATTGCGCTCCAAAGCGCCGAATCGACACCTTCATTAGCAGCAGCCAAATCGACGTAAGACTTAAAGCCCTGGCCAAGGAAGAATTTTGTGGAGGTGGATAAATCAAGTTCACTCTCCTTCAAGACACGGGATAAATGATCATGAAAACTGCGAGTCATATCGGGTAGAAGAGAGGGCTCCGTGGACAGAGATATGGCGCTGGGAAGCTTCGAATATGCATTGAGAAGAGCGACTTCAGTGGCACTGGGCCCATGACTGCCCAGCATATCCTTGATGCGGGCCTTCCAGGGAGTCGGGCAGGTGACATAACCAGGCTTTGAGAGTTCCGAAGTGATACAACCTGCCTGGTTCAACCGGAGCAAGGTCAAACATAATTCGTATTCATGCTCTTGCCATGAGGCATTGACGAACCTAAGGCTTGGGTGTTAGTAGGTAGAAACATCAGCACATATGCAGCCAGACTTACTTCTGAAAGTAAGGAAGGACAACGCTATGGAATCTCTCCGCGCCCCATTCCGAAAACGTAGCACAAAACGAAAGAAAATAAGCCGAGAGCTGTTCCTTTGCGACAGCATCCATGAGTGGGCGCATGAACGGCAACATCTCGTCCATAGGAGACACCTGAAGCGCGTATGCTACAGTAGTCAGAAGTTGAGGGATCGAATCGGCATACGCGCCAGGCGCAGCCGAGGCCTTCTGAAGCAAGAGCAACAGAGTCTGGTGAACGGGCTTCCAGTTCTTGATACGCGACCCTTTGCGGGTACAGACATAGATGAACATCACACGACAGTATAAGTTTGCGTGCTGTTTGTCGGACTTCTTGCGATTGGATTCGATGAAGGAATTGATCGTCTCGATGATTGGTTCGAACGTGTCGGCAGTCGTATTGTGATTGACGTTGATAAGTACCCCGCTTACAACCTCGACTGCTAAGCTGCTGCGCAATTCATTGCCGGTCGGAGCATTATCAAGGAGGCAGTTGAGGATATCGGTTGCGTTCGAGTGCAGCCCGCCTTTGACACCTTTGACCGCATCCGAGAACATAGCCATCAGCCCTTCCTTGTACGTCTCCACATTCTTCGAATCCGCGGCCGCCTGGTGCAAGTCGTCAAGCAAGAATGAAACTGCATGTTGTAATGGAGCCTTATTTTTGTAGTATACGAGTCCGGCCTTTCGGATGAGGAATGACATTGACTCGGCGGCAAATCTAGCGACAAATGGCTTCTGGCGTTCTTTTCCGAGGTAGGGTGTCATGATGCCCAGAAGCTGTCTTAAGTCTGGGACAAGCAGACGAGAAAGAAACTTGAAAATCCATGCTAGGCATGTAAAGCTCCACTCGACCACCTCGACATCAGGATGAGTGGCCGCGACGGACGCCACGAGAGTCACGGCAGTAGCAAAGTGTTTCTCAAATCGGACGCCCAGATCTCTCGCAAATTGAGCAAGCAGTGTCAGCAGCGGTTCAATAGAAAGCTGGTCCCTCTTCTCGATATATTCCACCAGTAGTCCCATAATCTTGTCCTGGTGGTATAAAATCTGGGCGAGACTTTCACATAGCGGGTTAACTTTCCGTGCGAATTGCGAAAAATTGTCCGACAAATTCAACTCCATCCAGTGGTCGAACGCCGATCGAAAATAAGAAGCCGTCTCATCTCCTTCTCCCTCTTCGCCAAAACTCGGACGGCGAACTCGATGAATCGGGTCGATCTTCAGTTTCGCGACACGCTGAGAGAACGGTTCGAACCGATGAGACTTCGTTGTCTCTGTTCCTTTCTTCACACGCTTCACGGACGCAGTCCGCGAAGTTGACGATGCTGCCACCATCTTGAAGACTGACGGCGACAGAGAGAGCAACGCCGACCAAATCGTTGCAGTGCTTCCTGTCGAGAAACACTTTTCGTCGTGCTTGTCAATACACGGGAAAAAAAGTTCATCGGCGGCCGCAGCAGAATTGTTCCGGTGCGGAGATTAGCGTCGGCCTTAGGCAGGCTCTGCGCTAACCCAGTCTAGAATAGTTCCAACAGCACGTGAGAGCAGCGGGTCTAAAGCTCTAAGCTTCTTTTGGATCCGCCTTACGAGCCAAAAATGGTGATGTCGATGTCTTCACTGCTGTTAATGCTAAATATTCAATTGCAACAAGGAATTTCTCTCTTGGAGCAGCATAATTAGATCGGCTTATTATTGCTACTCTGTCAGTGTCAAAGGAGATAAAGATTTTGCTCTGTTTTCAAAGAAATACATCTTTCTTCGACTATGTTGATATTAGCCGTTGCATCATAGTGTTCAGAGTATAACTTAATTGAAGAATGGCTTCGAAAATGTAAGTTATTTTTTCTGTGATTGATACTCGGCTCGCTAACGGAGATCTAGTGTCGTGATTGGGAGTGTGAACTGTGAGCTGCGTGAAGTGTTCACCAAGCTCGCCAAGTTACACATCAAGCAGAACTTCTCAATTGCGATCATTGTTGGGGATCTTTTCGGAGATTGCTCGACGGAGCATGAGCTGGACGAGATCACTGCCCTGTTGCAGGGAAACATCAGCGTACCCCTACCAACCTACTTTGGGTTAGGCAATCGACCCCTTCCCACCAGGATAGTGGAAAGGATCGAGGCGAACGACGAAGTTTGCCCGAATCTGTACTTTTTGGGCAAACGGGGTACTCTTAAGACAGCAGAAGGAATCCGTCTTGTTGCTCTTGGTGGTAACCTCGAGGCAGACAGCAAAGCAACCAATAAGTTCCATCCCGGCTACACGGAATCGGACGCCAGGGCACTTTACGGAGCCCACAGTGCGGACATCCTGATCACTCACCAATGGCCCAAGGGCATCCGAACCGGTTCCAGTGCGCCGTTACCAGAGGATGCCAAAGTGCCCGAGGAGGTGCAATGCATCGCAGACCTCTGCTCTACCTTGAAACCTCGATATCATCTTTCCTCATCCGATGGATTCTTCTACGAGCGTGAGCCATTCTTCCACATGCCATCAGAGGATAACCCGGACGCCAAACCCCTCACTCGCTTCATCAGTCTGGCATCCTACAGCAAAACATCCAAACAAAAATGGATGTACGCCTTCACGCTGGATCCCAGGGCCCCGCCACCCCTTACCATCCCCGTAGGCGCTACTGCAACCCCTCTGGCTCCCATTCAAGTCAAGCGAAAAGGCCTTCCACCTCAGCGGGAATCTTACCACCGCTTTGCAGGCATCGAAGAAGACCACAGCCGGCCGCGCAAGCGCGCCCGAGCCCCTCCCCCAGGGCCAGAGCAATGCTTCTTCTGCCTCTCCAACCCCAACATCGCAACCCATCTCATCACCTCCATCGGCAACGAAAGCTACCTCACAACCGCCAAGGGGCCCCTCTCCACCGCCAAAACGTTCCCCTCCCTCAACTTCCCCGGCCACATCCTCATCATCCCATTCACCCACACCCCCACCCTCTCCAGCATCATAGACCAGACAGCCCGCCAATCAACCTACGCCGAAATGCAGCGCTACCGCTCCGCCCTGCACGCCATGCTCCAGCAGCGCAGCAACGGCGCCCTCGGAGCCGTCACCTGGGAAGTCAGCCGCGGAACCGGCATCCACATCCACTGGCAATTCCTGCCCGTCCCCGCCGACCTGATCAAACGCGGGCTCGTCGACGCCGCCTTCAGAGTCGAGGCCGAGAACCTCAAGTACCCCAAATTCGAGCGTCCGTCCGCGACCGCCGACCCCAGCAGCGAACCGGGCGATTTCTTCCGCCTTTGGATCTGGGAGCCCCCCGCCGCCTCCGCGGTGGAAACTGAGAACCCCGAAGGGTCGGACGGTGCCACCACCAAAGGAACGGAGAACACTCTCCTCCTCCCGCTCGGGGCGGAATTCCGGTTTGATATCCAGTTTGGGCGGCGGGTGATGGCGAAACTGATGGAGTTGGAGAACCGGATGAACTGGAAGGATGGGGTGCAGCCGCAGGAAGAGGAGGAGGCAGATGCTGCTGCGTTCAAGGAAGCATTCAAGGAGTTTGATTTCTCGTTGCAGGAGTGAGTCGGCGAGAGGCGTTTCTCTTTGACTGGGTTGGCAGTTGTCCTTTTGCGCCCATAGACTTTGCTAGCGGGTTTGTCTGAGTAACAGATACGGATACCACATGGAGAAAAGTAATGGCAGCGTCCTTCAAATCGAGGCTACATTAAATTGATACCTTCTTATTTTGGGGGTTGTATATCTCGAAAGACATATTTACTACAGTCTCAATTTTGTTACTGGGTGCTAGGTTAGATCAGGTAGTGCTCCATCGAGCTAGCCTAACAGCGATCGGATCGACCAGTAATCAATCGCGAACTGTCATGAACGGAATGATATACATCAAAAGGAAGACATCAACATCCATGGCCCAAGACAAGTTATTCACATGTGGTCCAGGAGTATATTGTGAGAAGCAGAGGGGATAATCCGAGGCGAACGCTCCGTCATGTAGCAGCCGGCCGTGATTCCCATAACACCGAAAAGTAAAAAAGAAACCCTTATCCTCAAGAGTAGGGGCTGACAAGCATAAAAGAGCAAGGCGTAGGCTTTCAGCCCAGAATGATCATACACATCACATATATCGGAAATGGGGCCGGAAGCTTTTTAGAGAAAAATATAAAAAGAGACAGGACTTATTCAAGGGTTCCTGCGTAGCTCATATGGGATGCTAAACATCCCGATAGGAGTGAGGTGCGGGCTTTCGTCCGCTTTGTAGGATACTCGGGGGCCTGCCCGGGTCGCTCACTTCGAGAGGAACAGGATTCGTCGCCGAGAATGGTGGAGGTGGAGATGTAGGAGGGTTCGGGGACATTCCTCTGTATGATGGAGGTGGCGGCATGCTTGACATGCCTGGGGATGGTTGGCGGTAGGGCAGATGACGGGGCATCTCAGCAGAAGGTGACATTGCCGTATGCATGTTTGAATACTGTGTTTGCGAGCTGTAAGGATCCGGGTTTCTGGGCATAGGTTGCGAAAAGCTCCGTGGAGAATAGTCATTATATGTGCGATCATAAGGGGAGATTGTACCCTGATTGTATGGCGCGGAGGAATCATGATTATACTGGCGCTCGTCATCGTAGGGCGAAGACGCGTGAAAATAGCCGGGAGAAGAAGTCTGCGTTCTAATGGGAGGGACGCCCATTTGACCAGGGCTATTGAACCTCCCAGGTGACTGCACTCGCTGATAATCATGGTGCGCAGGATTCAAGGGCTCCATTTCCATCGTATCCTGATGACTGTTATCCTCCACTCTTCTAGTGACAGCATCGTTCCAACTCGGCATCGCAGGCAGCGCATCCTCATTCACCTTGACAGGTGGAGGGCTGGTTGGCGACTCGAACCGCGCAACCTGGGCTCCACGGTAAACCGGGGGACCTGGAGGAGCACGATAGCCATCGTTTGCCGGCATCGGAGGCGGCTGATGATACCCCGGGTCATCAAGATACTTCGATCTTGGAGCTTTGTTTCGAGGGGACGGGCAGCAACACGAGCAGCACCGGCAACAGCCCGTGCAACACTGGATACCGCAGCACAAACAATTAATCACGCACGCAATCACAGAGATGAGGATGACGGCGCCGATAATGATACCAACGATGACGGGCCATCTAATTTGATCTCAGTCAGCATATCGAAGTAGATGGGACCAGCAAACGCGCAACGTACTTGCAGTAGGATTTTGCCATGCACTTGTCCCAACTCGAGAATGTATCTGGCGCAGACTTGAGGTCGCTAACTGCGTCCCGTGCCCATAGTGAGAGCGAGGGGCGATCGACTGGACTCATGACGCAGGTTTAAGAGGATTAGTTATCCCTAGTTGTCCCTGGCAGATATGGTCTTCCACAGATTACAGAAATTCAGGGTTTCCCTTCCAACACTGCACTGCTGGTTGCCTGGCGATCTAGTGCAACCTATTGCGACAACGCCAGGGCGAGATAGAGGCACCGGGAAAAGAGGTTATTTGGCTCGTACGAGGCTGTCATAGATCGGTAGAACCTCGATCTTGACAGCAAAAGTCCGGTGATAAAATAGTTTCAGTCGAGTAAGTTTTCAAAAGATCGCATGTCATCCAGCGTGAGCGCAATTCGCCGGTCTGGGGTTAAGGTATGTAGGCAGCAGGTAATCTCGACTGCCAAAAGAGCGTTGAAATTGGTTCCTAGGAAGGTGGATACTCGAACAAGAGTATATACATAAGTCTTTAAAACGTAGAGAATGAATGAATAGGATAGAAGGGCCGAAGATGAAAGTAAGACGAGTCGAGTTGCCGACGAGATACGTCTCAGACTTGATGCAAACTATCTTATCTGACAGCCGACCCCAAGGCACCGTTTGTCCAAGTGGTCGAATACTTCAAAGAAAGGAACCTAGAAGGCAAGGTGAAGTGGCGAATGAAAGGAAAGTAAAAGAACTGAAGGAATCATAAGTTAAAAATAAAAATGATTTACAGGGAAGAAGAGAAAGAAAAAGCATAGACTTGGGAAAAAGGAAGGTTGGAAAAGAGGAGGCAGAGGGATAACGATAGGCATGATTATCAGGCGGGGATCAGCAATAATCATACCTGTAGAGAGGTAGGTACCCGTACTCCGTACACGAACCGCCTATCGTAGTGGACAGGAAAAATGCTGACAGGCGCCGTGAATGGTTGGTTCTATCCGTGGAATGGGCTAAGTAATGTTAACCAAAAGTTTACAGCGGGAGGTGTAATCTCGCCTCGCTCGCACGGTTCGTACCAGCCAAGAATTTCTACTTTTAAGAGGGTCGGCAAATGTTGCAGGCACATGGTTGAACGATAACTGATAAAGTGATAGCCCTTCTCTGGTCTCTCCACCACGGTGCTTCACCCTTGCAAGTTTGTCGATCGCTCATTTCATTTGTAAGTGGATTTCAATATAATTGGTAATTGTGATCCACAGAGGCTTCGAAATGGAAGATATTCTGTATGTAGTCTGGTGTACGAAGAGCATGCTTTTCGTTGTGTCTGGAATATTGTCGATGGAGAATACTGGCATCCTGCTATGGTCGCAAAGGAATGGTATGTCAAGTACAGTGGTAGTACGATCAGGATGAAGTGGTGTACGCCAGAGCAAGGCTGGATGTGGCAACAGAATATATAATGGAAGCACTTGGCTTCATCCAAACAGGGATGAGAACGTTCTGTATTGCTGGTCAATAAATTATCTCTGATTGAATAAATTATAGCCCATGAATTTCCTGAAACGGGTATTGTGGCTACTGAAAGCTTCCACACGCCATGCTATAGGCCATGAAAGACAAGGGCGCGAGAGTTTCCTTTTGGGTCATTATGAAATTAAGAATCCATGTAGAGACGAAATATAGAGACTCATGGTAACATCATAAACTCCTTCACAACTGGAGACCGTATCAATTATGAAGGAAAGAGTGGAACGAGAGACAAGGTATCCCAACACTGCGGACAACGCCTAAACGAACAACAGTGCTCCCTGACCAAAGAATCACTCGACATCTAAGACAACAATGCTCCTAGTACCAGTGCATGCATTCGGCAGCAACCTACACCTTGGGTCCGCCCTGAGGTGGCGGTCCTGGCGGAGGCTGGTATACTCGGTCACCTCCTGCGTTATAAGCGTGCGGTGGCGACTGCAGCTCGATGCCCGTTTGTTGGCCGCCAAAGTAGCCATGTGTCTGCGGTTGAGGTGTATATTGCGGTGGCGGCTGATGTTGATAGTAGGGATCTCCGTAATATGGCTGATTTGGAGGAGGAGGGCCTGGAGGAGGAGCAAGCCAAGCGGTCCCGGGATGAGGCCGGAGACCGCGATGGCGACGACGACGAGCGTTATAACATCTGTCAGGAGCAATTAGCTGATATTCATGATCCAGGGAGAAAGGAGACAGCGACATACGCAAGAAGGAAGAAGATTATGAAGGCTGCGCCGACAATCACAGCAAAGGCAACCCAGCGGCCCCAGCTATACCAGGCACTGTCGTTGCATCTACCAGTCCAAGAATCGTAATAGCTAGAAGGGAGTTAGTCACTCACTCGACTGAGTGTCACAGGCAGAGATGGAATAAATACTCACCATACTTCTCGCTGATAGAGGATCCCCATGGTGGTTGGAGAACCTCTCAATTCACGGTCTGAAGGTGTGGATGACGTAGATCAGGCGGTGGACGAAAGCACTCCTGCAACCGATAGATAGAGGCGGTAGACGGTCGTACAAGGAAGAATGCGACTCAAATATGCTTGACACAGGGATGCTTGATGAAAGTGACCAGAAGGTATGTAAGGGAGGAGAGGAGGAGAAATTGACGACGATAGTCTGGTAGAAAGGTACTAAGTGAAGTTTTTGGAGAGCTGAAGGCAGCAACAATTAAGAGTGGGCGATGCAGAATGGGCGAATGATCCGGCTAATTATGGGGACTGTCCGCCGATCGGATTGGGTGTTAAGGCATGTGGCTGTGGCTGAGAGCCTGAGACAAAGTACAGAGGTACTGGTACCAAGGACTTCGTCGATGGCTGGGGTTAGATACTTGGCGTTGATTAGTTATTACTACTCTAAGCTAGAGGCACTCTAGCTATACGGGTAGAATTCATTTAGAAGATGCATAGTCACGAGATCCTCGTCTTGGATGAGGAGGCGCAGGCAAAGAGCCCAAATAGACTTTTGTAGATTATTGGCTGCTTTTGTCAGACTACTAGTTAACAATCACTGAACTCTTAGAGAGGTACAGATAGCAGAGCATAGCTATGAGTACCGCCATAATGAGCCCAGAACCTCGACAAATAAATAGAAAGCATCAAAAGAGTCTTCCAGTAGTTGTACCTCGGAGCTTCTAGAATATCCACAAATAACCACAAATAACCATTCATCTATGGCTTCACAATACCTCTGCCTCCAATTGTCCTTCTTTGCCACTTGCTCTCTCCGTTCTCTGTGCATATTCCTGTCAACCAAGCAGCATTAATGTCCCCGACTTCAGTTTGACTGTCAACCGGGCATGGCTAAAGAGAAGAAGAGAGTCAAAATATGTCAGTGCTGTATAGACTACTTTGAATTTGGGTCAATATGTCTATCGTGTTAAAGCGACCCATAGGGCAACGGTATAACCCGATAATCCTGAGCCAAGTTCATATTGGATTATCGACTAAATAAGGCCCGGACTATCTACTCCGTACTGTAAACGGATCTTGTCAGCATCGACGGTAGACTACACTCGAGTGGTCAAGGCAGAACTAAATTGATTCCACCTTTCTTAAACAAAGGACACAACAAAACCCATAAACCGCACGGTTTGCAACCAGAGATTCTCGTCAAAGACCGAAAACATCTAAGTTGCGATTCGATGCCTCGTTCCGCCAACCATAATCACCCATCTACCTATGAGAGGGAAAGACTAGGATACGACGGCAACGCCTGTCTCGCGAGCTTGTGGTTGGCGGGGTAGGATTCGCTGGAAGCCCAAGGCAGGGCTTGTTTAGTTCCCGTCTTCCCATCTGCAATGCCAACGCATCAGTTGGCCTGTGTGTGGTCAGTGGCCACTGTTGGACCTCTTCAGTGACAGCCATAAATAGTTGGCTGGGTGTCATTATCTCGACGCGTCTTCGAATTTTCTCCTAGCGAAATCACCTACGCTCTCAGAAAAACTGCCGAATACGCTGGCCGTTCGGGGATAATTGGTTTTGCGCTTTTTGCAGTGCAGCTATATCCTCTCTTATGGACCTTCTCTGGACTTTTACTGCTTTGATTAGGTTCTGCTTCATGTCTCATGGAATCAAATCAAGATAACAGCAGAGGGCTAGCTGATGTCAGCTGATCTGATGCCCCCTCCCAGCTAGACGAAACATACATCCTTGGTGATGATACAAAAATTGGCTTGATATCATTTCGACAATAGGTCAGAACATTCTTGCCGCAAGGGACTCCAAACCGCGCAAAGAAAGAGGTCGAAAAAGGTCAATCGCTCCATTCATGTGCCTGGATCACATCAAGGTCATTACATCTGAGGTGGCAAGTCGATATTATGAGAATCTACAATTGTTTGGGTTGAAGACGAGGATAAGGCGAACGATGATAATGAGAGTCTGTGTTGTTGTTAGGCCGTCACTGCAGGCTCCATCCCGCAGAAATCTCATCTGCTTGCTCTGGCGATCAACCAGTGCAAGACAGCGTCGAGGTTTGTCTCCTCCTTGGCACTGATCCCATAGCAGCTCACCTCACGGCGCGTGATGGACTTGAGATCCATCGCGTCTATGAGTTCGTCAACCGACAGTTTGTCCGGAAGGTCGGACTTGTTTCCCAGAACCAACAGAGGGATGCCCTCAAGCGAAGGTTTGTCCATCAGCTCGTGAAGCTCTTCTGTGGCGACTGGCAGGGCGGCACGATCTGCCGCATCCACTATATACCTGCATCAAGTGTCAACCATGGCTGGCTTGGGGTCAACGAATGAACCTTGACACTTACACAATCGCATTTACGCCTCGGCAGTATCGCTCCCACATTGGTCGAAACCGCGGCTGGCCTCCAAGATCCCAGCTGTGTCAATATTAGCTGAATGAATGCGATGCCCGGAGCACTCTTGGACACTGACCACTTTAGAGTCACATGGCCTTTCTGAACTCGTTTCGTGTTGAATCCGATCGTTGGAATCGAGCTGTGAAGGCGAGGTTTAGCAACCCAAGACAAAGACAGCCCAGTTGTGGCCTGGCCAGGTCCTACGAGCTCCAGACTTACTCTACAGTGAACTCTCCCCCCTATCGAAGTTGAACACTCCACGTTAGCAATGACGAAAAGAAGATAAGCAAACTGTCCGGTCGCTTGAAATGGAAATAGAGGCATACCGCAAGCACTCGCAACAGCGACGATTTCCCCGCATTCTGCAGTCCGATCATCGTGACATCCATCTCCGTCGCCCTACATTCACAACATACATTTTACCCCTCTTAGCAAGCCGGAGCATTCAATGTTGTTGCGGGGGCCGGGCCGGGAGAGCTGTCGCCGACAGGGCGAATACTTTGGAACCGCGGCCCACTTACCAGAACATCCTCAGGAGCCAGTCATAGATCGTCCGAAAGATACCCGCCATATTGCGGATACTTCAAATCACTTCTTTCTACTTCGGGTAGAGGACAGAAACCAGGAAACCGAGTCGAGATCAGGTTAAAAACAGGATGCTTGCTGGATCGGTGACAAATGACCGATGGATGTGAATATAATGTCGAGACCCACGGTCCTGGAGACTTGGATCGAAGCGCGGGAAGTGGGGGTAGGCTGAGAGTCAGCCTCTTGGGGGTTTGGTATATTGGTAGCCAGCTTCCGCAGGGGTGGTGTAGAAGGGCTAAACCGCAGTGACGAAGTTAAGGCAAAAAGTTAAAAAAGCAAATAGTAAATATCTGGGAGCAATAGAGAAAGCGGCTTGTGGGGAGACGCCCAGAAGGTTCGGGAGGACGAGGACACACGGTCAAGCAAGTGGCTGTGAAGGGGACAAGATTGTGCTGGTGAGTAGAGTGCCAAAAGGAGTGGTAGTCTTCCAGTAAATTTTGTAGATACAAGCCTCAAGGAGATGAAGGTTAAAAAAAAAGGGAACCCTTCTTGATACTTTGCGTTGTGGTGAAACTGAAGTGCTTGGGATCTATGTGCACGCATGACCGATTCCCTCTGCGCCGCGGTGGAGGGGAGCGCTTAGCTTAATACTCAGTCAGGTCAATGAGACTCAATAATTTGGGATGGAATATGATGGTTGCCGCAGGAGTAGCAATGTTGATAGGTTTAAAAGCGATATTAAACACGCATTTACCCCAATGCCCGTTAGGGACAGGTGACTTTGTCGCACCAAAATGATTTTTGCGTTGTACTTGAGCCATCAATCAAAGCCTGTTATGGTGTCATGGAAGTCAGTCTTGCTCTATCCAGCATAAAGGTCTGCCTTGTTGCCTAAGGCGGCATCTGAGGTCCAGGTCGATCCTTGTGACGCATGGAAATTGTTATGCCTAAGGCAGCAAGGCACACGGCCCACAGCTTGGTTCTCTCTCTCTATCAGTATCAGCACGTGATGATATGTGTCCGTTGGTCCACCTCGAAAAATTTCCAGCATGAACGAGGTCTCCGACAGATTGTTCCGATCGACAACTGCGACGCTCTGTCCCATAGATTCCCTTGACTCCAGTCTACATCAGACTCTAAGACGCTTGTCTGGGTGAGGAATGGGGCCTTGAGTGTTCACATTGCACCAATTCTTTTTCCATTGGTGCACACAACCAGACTAGAGCAGTGCAGTTGAAATCTTCAGTCGACTCGTCCGCACGGGTATAGTCGAGGCAAGCACGGAAGAGGCACGGAGTGCCCGAAATTTCTCAAAAATGGCTCCTTCAGCGACTGATACTAATTGGTCCGTCGATTTTGATACCATCCGACGGCACCAGCTTTTCAAGAACCCTCCCAAGGACCACACCGCATTTCCCTCGTTGGCGGCTGCCATTCGGCCACACCTTGACTCTTTCAACGCGCTTTTCGAGGGCAGCAAGGCCCTTGAAGCAGGCTTGAAAGATATCGGCATCAAGACTTTTTTGGATGGTGATGCTGAGACGGCCGAGGAGAAGAGAGCACGGAAAGCGGAGGGACGACGACCTCCGAAACGCAACAGGCTTAATGTTCGAATCAGGGAAATCTTCCTTGAGAAACCGGCCATACCCGCAACAAATAAATTCGCTACTCGTAACCGCAGTGTCTACCCTTCAGAAGCCAGAGAGAGACATGCTACATACCGTGGGAAGCTGCGCGCGAGGCTCGAGTATCAGGTTAATAATGGAGACTGGATGGAGTCGATCAGAGAACTTGGCCAGGTGCCCATCATGCTGAGGGTAAGCGTTTGAAATAGTAGATGCCTACCTATTTTTCGCACACTAACAGCATCGAAACCTAGACCAATCGATGCCACCTGGAGAAGGCGACGCCCCAGGAGCTTGTCCAGCACAAAGAAGAGTCGGAGGAGCTGGGTGGCTATTTTATCGTCAATGGTAACGAGAAGCTTATCCGTATGTTGGTTGTCGGCAAGAGAAACTTCCCCATGGCAATTGTCCGTGGTTCCTTCGTTCGTCGTGGTCACACCTACACCAAGTTCGGTATTCAAATACGATCAGTGCGCCCTGATCAGACATCGCAGACGAATGTTCTTCACTACCTCAGCGATGGGAACGTGACCTTCCGATTCTCTTGGCGGAAAAACGAGTACCTCATCCCGGTTATGATGATCATGAAAGCTTTGGTTGAAACGAACGATCGCGAAATCTTCGAAGGCATTGTCGGCAGCGCTACGTCCAAGGGCGTCAACAACACATTCGTGACGGACCGTGTGGAACTGCTGCTGAGAACATACAAAGCCTACAACGTACATACGCGTTCTTCCTGCCGAGCTTATCTGGGCGAGAAGTTCAAGCCCGTTCTTGGTGTTCCGGCAGACATGTCCAACGAGGACGCCGGTACAGAGTTCCTCCGCAAGATTGTCTTGCCTCATCTCGGTAACCAGAATGTCACTGAAACCCAAGACTATGACAAATTCAAGTTGATCATGTTCATGATCCGGAAGCTCTATGCGCTTGTTGCTGGAGATTGTGCCCCAGACAACCCGGATGCCGTTTCCAACCAGGAAATCCTGCTCGGCGGTTTCCTTTACGGCATGATTCTCAAGGAACAGCTTGAGGAATGGATGAGATCTTTTGGCCCTATCCTGAGGGATTGGTCCAATCGCAACGGTGGCGCAAAATTCACGGATCCGGCTTTCGAAAGAGATTTCTTGAGCAAGATTGTCAAGAGAACCAACGAGAACATCGGTGGTAAGCTGGAGTATTTCCTGTCGACTGGTAACCTCGTCAGTCCCACGGGTCTCGATTTACAACAGGTGTCTGGTTACACTGTCATGGCGGAAAAGATCAACTTCTACCGATTCATCAGTCACTTCCGAATGATTCACAGAGGTAGTTTCTTCGCACAGCTGAAAACAACTACTGTTCGTAAGCTGCTTCCCGAGAGTTGGGGTTTCCTTTGCCCGGTTCACACTCCTGATGGAGCACCCTGTGGGTTGCTTAACCATCTTGCTCACAAGTGCTTGATCGCCACAAGCGATGTCAACGTCTCTCATCTCCCAAAGCTGTTGGTGCAGCTTGGTGTACGATCTGAATCTTCAGTTGCCTTGGAAGACAGCGTTACAGTTCAGCTGGATGGCAGAATCGTTGGATATTGCTCACCCAAGCAGGCCCGTATGATAGCGGATACCGTTCGGCACTGGAAGGTCTCGGGTACACACAATATCCCACGAGAATTGGAGATCGGTTATGTTCCCAATTCGAATGGTGGCCAATATCCTGGTGTCTACATGTTCTCTCAAGCCGCCAGAATGTACAGACCTGTCAAGTACCTACCACTCGACAAGCTTGACTACGTCGGTCCCTTCGAACAGCCCTTTATGGAGATTGCATGCTTGCCCGACGATCTTGTCGCGGGCGTGTCCACGCACATTGAGTTCACACCGACGAACATCCTATCCATCGTCGCCAACATGACACCTTTCTCCGACTATAACCAGTCGCCCCGTAACATGTACCAGTGCCAGATGAGCAAGCAGACGATGGGTACACCCGGTACAGCGATCGATTACCGTACGGACAACAAGCTGTACAGATTGCAGACTGGTCAGACGCCCATTGTGCGACCTCCGCTGTACAATGCATATGGATTAGACAACTTCCCGAACGGCACAAACGCGGTCGTGGCGATTATCTCGTATACCGGGTACGACATGGATGACGCCATGATTATCAACAAGTCGTCGCACGAGCGCGGCTTCGGCTACGGTACTATTTACAAGACCAAGATCCACTCTCTTGATGACAAGGACTCGCGGCGCAGCAAATCCAGACGCGAGATCACCAAGCTCTTCGGTTTCGCTCCTGGCGGAGAGATCCGGGCAGAGTGGCGTACTACGCTCGACGAGGACGGTCTCCCTCATGTGGGTGCCAGAGTCAAGGAGGGCAGTCTAATTGCTGCATGGCATACTGTGCGCTATGATGCTGCTTCTGACTCTTACATGAACGTTGACGGCATCACGCACTTCGTCAAATATAAAGACGCAGAAGAAGGATACATTGACAGCATCCGGATCATGGGTGCTGAGACGGGTTTGGAGCCGTGCCAGACACTGAGCGTCAAGTACCGTATCCCCAGAAAACCAGTTATCGGTGACAAATTTTCTTCTCGTCACGGACAGAAGGGTGTCTGCTCTCAGCTCTGGCCTGCGGTTGACATGCCCTTCTCCGAGAGCGGTATCCAGCCAGATCTGATCATTAACCCTCACGCCTTCCCTTCTCGTAAGTTCATCTTTCCAGGCCGTTTCCATTGCATTCAATGCGAAAATGCGACTAATTTCATTGCAGGTATGACCATCGCCCAAATGATCGAATCCATGGCCGGCAAGGCCGGAGCTCTGCATGGCCATCCTCAAGACTCGACCCCCTTCCAATTTTCGGAAGAAAACACCGCGGCAGACTACTTCGGCCAGCAGCTGCGCAAGGCCGGCTACAACTACTTCGGCAACGAGCCCCTCTACAGCGGTATCACAGGCAAGGAATTCGCCGCCGACATCTTCATCGGCGTGGTCCACTACCAGCGTCTCCGACACATGGTCAACGACAAGTTCCAGGTCCGGACAACCGGCCCCGTCAACCAGCTGACCGGCCAGCCCGTCAAGGGCCGTGCCAAGGGAGGTGGTATACGTGTCGGAGAGATGGAGCGCGACTCGCTCATCGCCCACGGTGCGGCCTTCATCCTCCAGGACCGTCTGATGAACTGCTCCGACTCCCAGCGCGCCTGGATCTGCCGCGACTGCGGCTCCTTCCTCTCCACCCAGGTCGCCGTCTCGTCCGCCGGCTCCAGCAAGGCCCGTTTGGCCGCTTCCGCCGCGGCGGCCGCCAAGAACGCCCTCGCCCAGCAGAGCGGTGCGCCGGGCATTGTGCGCTGCCGACGCTGCGCCCGCGAGGCTGTTTTCGAGGACTCCCGTGCCGTGGTGTGGGAGGACGGTGACGGCCGTCGCTATGTGGGCGGCGACAATGTCACCATCGTCGCTGTCCCGGGTGTCCTGCGCTACCTTGACGTGGAACTCGCCGCGATGGGCATCAGAATGAAGTTCTGGGTTGACAATTAAGTGGGGAGAATAAAGGATGCATATACTCCACGAGATACGTTGAGCTCAGTGAAAAGCATGTGTATAGAGCGCTTGAGCATTGTTCATCTTTTGTCGCCTTCGGGTGTTTGTATTTTTGTGGGATACAATCTAGAGCCTTTTTATGGTCTACTCCTTCCGTTTCGATCTTTTTTATATCAAAACGCTTTTAGGGTACGAGGTGCAGCCTTTCGTCTATGTATTCTAGATTCATTCCATCGACTGTTTGCCTATATCGTACTACCAGGTAGATTTCAACGACGGCAACCGCAATTCGAAAAGTTTTCAATGCCTAGAGAAAAAGGAATTACGAGATAATCATCATATCCACCACAGGAATTACCAGAATCACGCCCTTAAAGGGCCGACGTAACGTTCGAGAATTCACCCTTTTCCAGCTTCGTTTTCCAGAAAATGGGGTTCATATCGTCGAAACCGTGGTGGACCCAGCCTTCCTCCTTGACATGGTACAAGTTGATGAAACCACCCGAGTAAGCATCACGGTGCATGGCGGCAAGGATGCTCCGACGACCAAGCTCGAGGGCCTCCTCTTCAGTTAAGTCGTAGCGGTACTCGGCGTCAAGCACACCGTAAGCGAAGGTCTGACCGGACCCAACGCAGAACAGGTTTCCAGGGAGTCTCGTGCCATCCGAGTCGATGTAGTAGAGGGCTGGTCCTTCTTGAGGCGTCATCTGCGGTGATATCAGTTTCACAATCCATCCAATTTCCAAAAGAAGGGATCGAAACGTACGCCTGCTAGCATTGTACCCATGCTGAGACCCATTCCCTTGTAAGCGTATGTCAGATTGGCGAGAATCTTCGATGCGGCCGCAACGGTGATACGACGCTTGTGCCGGATCTCTGCCACGACATTAACACAACACTCTTGCCAGAGACACGTCCAGACTCACCGTGAAGTGTACATTGCTGACTCAGATATCTCAGCCAGTATTGGCAATCCTGAAGGGCGATTTTGTCAGTGTCACCATGTCACCAGGACGCAAAAGAACGCATACCGCAGCACCACCAGCCATGGTACCCAGTAGACCGGGGACCGGAGCATCCTGCTTCTTGTCGTCACCCCGACTCAACCGCGACACGGGAATGACCTTCTTGACTGTCTGACTGGCAATCCAGTTCCCAGCGGTAGCTCTCGAATCTGTCGCGACGATCTAAGAAACAACGAGTCAGCCAGACTGCTACAATGCTGGGCCGGCCGGACGGGGAGTTGGCGGCATACAATTCCGCCCTGAAATCGAAAGGCGAGTGTTGTTGTTCCGTGAGCGAGCTTGATGGGACAGCTAGGATTCGAGTGGTCATCGGTCATGGCACGAAGGAATGCGGAGGACTAAATGCGAAGAAGAGCAAGATACACATATTAGCTGATGGCTTCTCCGGAGTGCGATGAGGACAGGATCCGCTCAGTGAAACCGCTTTGCCATAGAGCGTTTTCACAGGCCGAAAAGTCCAGACAGGTGGAGTGTTCTCAAAATGTAGCTCACATTTGCAACTGGAGGAAGAGCGAATTTCAGAGAAAGAGGAGGAAGGCTCTCTGTCAGGTCATGCTGTTCTTGCTCCGAGTAGAACTCATTCTGGTGAGGTAGACGCGAGTACTGGGCGACTAATTTATCCATGATTTAAACCGACTCCTCTAGATTCCAGTAGTAAAAAGACAAGCAGGAAGCTAATCGAAGTGATAATATACAGGGACGATGGCGGAAGTGGATGGATGAAACGGGGAAGCAATTGCAGCTCTGGCACTGAGCTCCATTGAAGCTCCAACATCCGCGTCACTTGCTGCCGCCTGCGTCACGTGAGCGTACTGCAATCAACTCTCAGCAATATAGGATTCATCCACGACTTTGACTCGTGATAGTAAATATGCACAGATTATATTGACTTTTATGAAATTCTGTAAAAGTAGTTCTTTTTGTTACAAATCATTTACCACGGCAGCAGACCTGAAAGTTCCTATAGACTCCGACTAAATCCATATACCCATGACCATCCCATCCAATATTAATCATGCTACAAAGTAAAAACTGAACGACTAGGACACTACCCTGAAAGAGTACCTATCTGGTTTCTCATGGTTTTTCAGTATGGAACAGCAACAGGCTGCGCTCCGGTAGCGCCAGAGACCTGTGGCTGATCCTGCTTCGCGCTTGTGGCGTCGTCGGTGCCAGTTTCGTTGCCATTACCAGCGGCTCCAGTTAACCCAGTCCCGGCAACAGGTTCTCCTTGAGCTTCCTGGTCTCTACCAGCACCAGTGGTCTCTCCTGCAGAGGTATGGATGGGTTCGACGGTGCTCTCCCATGCCTTTAGGTCATTCTCGGCAGCCTCAAGGATCTGCTTTGCTGCATCGGCATGCTCATAGGGGTGTCGTGAGTCACCAGGGACGATTGGGGTGTCGTCGAGGTGGTTGAGGAGACGGCGAGCATGGCGCGCGAGCAGGATCTGCTTCTCTCCGCGCTCAATGACTGCGGCCAGATGGACATCAAAAGCCTCCTTGAGTTTCAGTCTGGTCTATCGTCCGAGTCTTAGCCCTATCGCCGCTCTATCAGGTATACTCACGAGGTCATACGTACCACATTGGTCAATTGAGCCTCAGCAACCAAATTATTAGCCTCAGCCCGCACCAACTCCTGCTCCAGAACGTCCACCCTGTCCTTGCTCTGCTCCCCCTTCAGCTTCAGCCGCTGGATATCATCCGCGATCTTCGCCCTGTGATCGCGCGACGGCTGGACCGAGGACTCCGTATCCCGGATCTGCTTCAAGAGACTCCGGTAATCCTCCAGGCTCTGTGCAAAGTTATCCTCCTGCTCACCGATCTCCGCCATCAGCACACCGAGCTTGTCGGAAATGTCGGACACGGCGTCGTCCTCGGTGCCTTCGCCCCATTCGGAGAGCAGGGCGGCGATGTTGACGCGCTCGCGGCCGGCTGCCTCGTGAGCTGAGATGGCCGAGTTCTCTTGCTTGATGAGGCGACTCATCTTCTTGCTCAGCTCGGGCGCCTGCAGGCCGCGGAAGGTGGACATGCTGAAGCGGTGGCGGGCCGGTTCCTTCTTTCGGATGGAGAGCGTTCGGCTCCTGGTGCGATTAGCCACGTAGAGGATAGGATGGCCTTGCACGACTCATACATCATGGTGATATCCGTTAAAATTTGTTATTCACCAAAAGCTGTTCAATCAGTTTATTAGGCGAGTCAATCCGTAGCTGTTACTGAGCAGATTAAAGCAGGAATGCGCCTTCCTTGAAGTGCAGTTACGACACGGTATTGCTATACAACCGAAAGGAGCAGGCTGTTCTCTTATCGCCTCAGTCACTGCAGATCAGATGTACGATGACACAAGACAGATGGAAATCCCTTGGAGATGACGAACGGGTGTTCATCTTAACTGATGGCGCAGTTGCTCGTACATGACGTCATGCGGGATGAGCGGAAGCTGAAGTCATGATCCGAATGCGGTCGACGTTGAGATGCTTCATGATGTGTGATTGATTCTGATGGATGAATTAGAGTTAAGTTCAAGCATTGGAGCCGTGGGAAGTGTCGTGTTGCGGTGTTGGGTTGTGATGCATTTCGAGCCGAGTGCCCTAGTCTCGTAGTCTATGGAGTTGGGTTCTTGAAGATCATGACGGGAGCATAATCCTTTTTATCTTGGAACAATGCAACAGATCATCATCTCTACCAATCAAAGGCAAGTACGGTATTTAAACTCAATAGCGTGTATAACTGAATATGATATTCCATCCTACATGGCCCGATTCATCTTCCCCTCCCAGAGACATATCTCACCTCCTCCTCCCATACCCTTCCCGGATGGTGCAAACGCGCTCGTCCCCAGCCCCCAGGCTCAACATATCTCACACATCTATACAGCGGAGACGGTGAACGAGGCGGACTATCAAAGAACCTTCTTCTGAGAGGAACAATCGACTCAGACCGCGTGCGCACTCTCGTTCTTTGCACAGTTGTATATGATGGCTCTGGTTCTGGTGACCTTGAGCGGGCATACCAGGAGTGGTGGTGGTGTTGATGATGATGATGGTGCGAAGGTCGGGACGCAATGACAATGGTAGTATCATCGCTACTGCTGCTGCTGCTGCTGCTGCTGCTATGATGACTCGAGCTGCTGCTGCTCGAGTCGGAACTAGAACTGGAACTGGAGCTGCCGCTGCTACTACTGCAGCTGCTTCTGCGCCGAAGAGGACCTGGAATCGAGACGCGAAGCGTCCCCGGGCGGTATTCGACGACTCGCACGCCGGGCCCGGGTCCGTCGTCAACTTCGAGGAAGCACATATCGACTATGCCAGCTGGATAATGATGACTGCTCGTAGACGAGGAGCGCCCTTTACTTGAGACACTGAACTGATACGCGAGCGACACCGAGTGGGAGAATATAGTAGGCGATACACCGGCGTACGGCAAGCAAAACACCAAGCAGTAGATCTGACGCGGCGACGATGAAAGTACAGCGATCAACCTGGGCCGAATAACAGGCGTAAGGACTCAAGACGACGAAATTATGGAAGCTCACTGTATAGTCAAAGGATCACAATGTCTGTATGCGATAATGGCGTAGCAGTATATTCCACCTCAAGCTTCACTCGAGCAATAATGTCATTAAATGAATATTCCGCTACCGTCCTGTCATGCGGATCTTCCCGCCTTGTGATTCATCCTCATACCTCAAAGTGTGTGTTGCAATCATGTTCATCCAGTGACGCCGTCATGTGCGCGGGACGACTGATAGGGGTAGGCACCAGCGCAACATTGGACTCTTAACACATCGTAGACCTTGTGCGAACCAAACCTTGAAGTAAAGCATAGGGTGTATTATAAGATGGACCGATGCCAGAGTGCAGAACGACGGCCTTGATACAGGCCATCACAAATCGATTATAGCAAGGTGTGTCTCCTATCTAGATCGTACAACACAACAAGTTCTTTTCCCTGGAAGAGTGGGCAGCAGGATGCGACGAAAAAAAAAAATCAACCAGCGCCCGGCATATAACAGAACCATCCAACACCCGTTGAGAAAGCCTACATCCAAACAAGAAAAAAATGCAACCACCTCCGGCCCGTTTACGACATGTCATCTGCGTCATGGTGGTGGGTATGCTCATTATCCGATGCGTGAAAAGCATCTCCGAACGCCGAGTTATCCAGATCAGGAAGATCCAGACCTTCGTTCTGCTCGGTGTATGCCGCCAGCGCGTCTCCGGCACTGTCCATGTTGGTGAAGTCAAAATTCGCGCTGTCAAGGCCGGTATCGCCCGCGCTTCCAAGGCCAGGCGTTAGTCCTTGTAATCCGCTTCCTGGCGTTTCACCCGCTTGCATGTCGCCAGGCGGTTTATTCATATTGTCATCCTTCTTGTTGTCCTCATTCACCATTACCCAGTCGCCAGTTTCTCCAACAGCAGTATTCGGGGGTTGGCCGTCACCCATGTCCATCTCGGCATCCAAAGGCGCGGTTGGTGCAGCAGGTGCCGCTCCAGTGGCAGTTGGCACCGCCTGTCCCTGAGCAGCAGGAGCTGCCCCTTGTGCGGGCGCGCCGAACTGGCCAAGGAGAATGCTCTCCGTATGGCCCATGTCGATATCGACATCAGCTGCAGTTGAAACAGGTTCGGGTTCAATCTTTTCCAGCAAGCCGCCCTTTTGCACGCAGGAAACCTTGGGTTCCGGCACGATTTTCCTGCGCCACGAGGTTTCAACTTCTCGGACAATGTCATCAACCTTGTACTTGGCCTTGTGCTCAACGGGAACGACTTCAGCTCCATCCCCTTCGGTCGGCATCTCACTGCGGCCTTCCATCCTCCAAATCTCTGTTCCGGTGTCTTCGGGATTGGCTGCCGCATCCCGAAGTCGGAGTTCAGCGTCCTTGAGAAGAGAGGTGCGATTGAACTTTTCCATCCTCCGGGCATGGCGCTTCTTGAGCTTCTCAATTTCTGCAGTCATGTCGGCGACCTTTTTGGCAACCCGGTCGGCAAACTCCTTGGCTTTTTCGGGCTCCATCTTCGTCGCTTGAGTAGGCTCAGTGCCTTCTTTCGAATCGCCACCTGCAGGCCCAACGGGTGCATCGAAAAAGCCTGCGGTCAGAGTCTCCAGCTCTCCTTTGCGACCGAGTCCCAAAGAAACAGGCGTAATCTGGCTGATCGCATACGGCGAGGCGAAGATCTCTTCCATCCACTCGTGGTGTTGCTGATATCTCATTTTGCTTACTTCCCGAGGAGTCAGCAAATCCATCACGTCGCCCGTGGAAACGTCTTCATCTTCGAGTGCAAAATCAGCTGCTGCAGCGGTCATCGCCGCAGTTGAGGCGCGATGTCCACGGGGTGCCTTGGCCGGAGCTGCAGCGGCAGGCGCTGGTACAGGTTGGCCGGGCTGGGGATAGAACGGCTGACGGCCAACCATGGCATTGGGATATGGCCCCGCCGGTTGGGCAAGTGCTTGTGGTGCTATCTGTGGAGGAAAGTTGATTGTAGGCCAGTTGTTCCGATCATGAAGCATAAAGTCTTTGCGCGCCAGTTGACCCTGGCTTTGGAGGAAACGACGTTGAGCCAGCATATTTTGCACTGGCGGAGAGACTGGAATCCGGTTCGCTGGAATATGTTCAGTAGGAGGCGCTCTGGAGTAGTGCACGATCCATAGTGACGGGTCCGGCGGGGGAAGGCTAGGGTTGGGGACTTTCGTGGGCAACAGGCGGTAGCGTCTGCGACAGTGGATGGCCACAGACTCATTGGGCGGGTGGTAACCGCTGCGATGGAGCCACATCTCCACCATCTGTCACGGACAAAGCATCAGCATACGAAATCGGAAAATCGGAGATGCATAGGATAAGCGCCATACGTATCCACGAGCTTCAAAGGTAAAGGCCTGTTCCACGTCGGCCCAGACGTAACCATCACTGGCGAAGTTTGTCCCAAGGTGGTTAAGAGGCTGCCATGTGAGCATCACCGTTCCATCCTGAGGTCCATCTAAAAAGGTCCAGTGCATCGGCTGGGCTTCGCGAACGATCTTGGACGCGGACAGGAGGTATTCGACGACGGTGTCAGTTGGCATCATGTGCATCAAAGGGTACCGATGGCGCGACACCAGATGCATGTGCGGCAGCTATGACAAACAAATCCACTAAGTTAGCATGCTGCCCTCGAATAACTATGCAATGAATCGTCCCCAAAAATCCTAGAGGAACAACTCACCAACTGCGCCGGGACGCGGCTCGCTGGGTCGTCCATTGTGACCAAATGGCGATGGACAATTGTAAATCAGGTGTCAATGCGGTCGCAGAAATGACAATATTCAGTCGAACTAGAAATCACAATATAGAAGGTGGACTAGCGCACCTCCAAGGCGTAGTATTGGAGGCGAGGACAATTAGATGAATGCTTAGCTATCAACGCGACGCGGGAAAATTGAAGTTCCAGAAAGACACCGGGTGCGGTTGGCGGGAGAAACTCATAGCGCAGTCTAGACACCTTACAGATCAGGCATTAAAATCAGGCACGCCCAGGATCGGGGATGATCCGAACGCTCGACTAGGATGAAGATGAACAGAGGCTGGGGAGATGGGAAAGCTGTAAGGAATCAAAGACAGTACGGAGTGAGGACCATAAAATGTGACCTTGTCATCCCTATAACTATAAATCTTTAATTTCCTCTCCAGCCTTCTCGACATGAGATATTATATAGACTTGTCCAGGATCGCCAGCTCATCGATGACTGAAGAGGGAGCTTAAGAAAGCTTAAGAACAAGCTTTCCGGCGACCCGCCACTTGTATCTCCGCAATCTAAGCCTGAAGATAACACTATTTACGTGAATTGAAAAGCTCTTTCCCATGGCTGGGTTCCAATTGAGTTCCGATATGGAGCCCAGATGCTACTCTCAAATATTTAGGATACCTTAATTATGTATGAATCCACTTTTCCTCAAGTATTGCCTACTCCATATGGCGTCACACTTCCCTCTACCCCCTCACCGAATCTCAGCCATTGTGATCCAATTGTGAGACAGAGCATTGCGGTCCTGGTCCTAATGCTGCAGATCACTCAATAGCCGGAACATTGTTGCACCAGTATTGCCGATGTTACTGTGTGACTCGGCAATTAAAAAGCGCATCATGCCCTCGTTCTCCTGCAGCTCTCACAATGTCTTTCGATCTATTGTTGCCGACTCTTTTCCAATAGCGAAATCCCTCATTTTTAGCAACCGTTTTGGCTATGGCGCTTTCCGAGGATAATGACAACCCTAACAATCGGACGAAAGACGCCATCGAGCAAGCCCCCGGCATCGACATGGAGAAACAGAGCGCGGTCCATCACGATGAAGACAACGACACAGCGCTGCCCTCGATGCCTGCAGCGGTCATCACTATAGACCCGGCTGTCGAGCGCCGAGTTCTGAGGAAATTGGATCTAAGGGTTCCCACACTTTTGGGGTTCTTGTGTGAGTTCTCCCCCCGCCTTGTCGACTATAAGTGTTGTTTCTAACGAGGACATTGAGTCTAGATCTTTTGGGGTTACTCGATCGCTCTAACATAGGTTTGTTGTATGACTGGAGTGGAACAAGATTTACATCTGACTGTAGACAGGCAATGCATACATAGCTGGGATGAAACAAGACTTACGTCTAAGCGGACAGCACTATTCTTGGCTGCTGACGATTTTCTACATCGCGTACACGCTGTTCGAGTTTCTAGCCTTGATGTGGAAGATTCTGCCACCTCATCGCTGGGCAGCGATCTCTGTAATGAGCTGGTAAGTGCCACATGACGACCCGGTTCCGTGTGCGACCACCCTCCTAAATTATCCAGGGGCATTGTTGCGACTTGTCAAGCTGCGGCACAGAGTTGGGAGGGACTGATGGCCCTCCGTTTCCTCCTTGGGGTGTCTGAAGCCGCGTTTGGACCTGGCACACCGTATCTGTTGTCTTTCTTCTATCGCCGTCACGAACTCGGTCTGCGTATTGGGCTGTTCTTCTCTGCTGCGCCTCTGGCCAATACATTTGCAGGCGCCCTGGCGTATGGAATCACATCTGGCCATTCCAAGTTGGCCAATTGGCGATTATTATTCCTAGTGGAAGGGGCACCCTCTGTGCTTGCTGCTTTTCTTGCCTGGTTTTTCCTGCCCGATCACCCGGCGTCTGCCCGTTTCCTGAATGACGAGGAAAAAAAGGTTGCGCGAGCAAGAGGGCTCCGGAAAAGCGGTGAGGGCGAGCGTGTAGCAGGCATTGACTGGAAGGATATTGGTCGTACCCTGTTGGATGCCAAAGCCTGGATCATGGCGGTATGTTGTGCTCCCTTGGTACTCGAGCGAGTGGCACTGATACGGAATTCCAGTTGATGTACTTCAGCTGCAAT